CTTCCCTACACCCTCAAAGTGGAGCAGCTCAAGAAGATCAGCTCCGAGGCACGCGAACAACCAGCAAAGGCGACAGACAGACAGGTCGCTGCTTTGCTCAGGCACAAACAGCAGAGGAGGAAAGAACGAGTACCTGTTTGCCTCTCCCGAATGCTGGCCGTCGCCGCCATCTTGCTTCCCACCATCCACTGCCCGGCTGGCACTGGGTGCTCGAAGATGACGTGGCGCACCCTCCCGCCCCGGAAGCAGAACCAGGGGGCGGGCCTAGAGGGAGGCGGCCCGCCTCCTCCGCCCAGCCCCCGGCCTCCGCCCCTGACATTGGTGCTTCCCGGTTTCCCAGTAGCGTTCCCGACCAATCGGAGCAAGCCTACGCTGCTCTGAAACTGCCTCTCCGGGCACGGAGGTGTGCTGTGGGGCCAGCAGTCTCTAATTGATATAGCGATCTTTAAGGATTTAAAAGCTTGTAAAAATTGAAGGACTAAAATAAACGCAGGAAGCTGCGTTTCCTTGATTCCCATTACAGCAGGAGTGTTCTCTTCCCTATTTTCTCTGAAAACAAAAACTTTACTACAAACGCTGCAAATTTCTTAGTCTTATTTCTTAAGGTAAATGTTTTTTGTCGGCAAGGGTATAAAAATTACAGAGGAGCCAAATGGCAGAATTTCTTGCTTTCAGTAGTAAAAAGTAAAAACCACCACCACCACCACTATTCTAAGGGGAAGGAATCTGGATGATCACCGCCAGGTTTAGTACATTTGAAACCCCGTGATTATGAAATAAATCCCATATCAATAATTTATATAATAGATTTTATTAAATGTCAAAAATATATACAATCACAACTTATTACCAATTCAACGAATTCACTGATGACATTTCATTAAAGGGTTAATTCTGAAGCAGTCGGATTCTGAGATAATCACACCTTCGAAAATTTGGATTTCAAAGTTGCAAATAAAATTTTTTTATTTTTTAAAAGTTCAGATTCCATCTTACAATAAAAACACATGCTCTATTTGACTGATAAAAAGATGTTTATTTTTATCAAATGATAACAGGCTATTTTATTTTTTTAAACCATCAAGAAATACCTTAGCCAAGAACCATGACCTTTTACTTATAGCTGGCACATGCATTAAAAAAAAATCAAATAGAATGTTTACTGGAGTTTTCTTCGGTGCTATTACTAATTTTTGAAAGGAATCTTCAACAACCTAGGTGTGTGATAATGGAAATGAAGTTTCTGCCTTAAGGGAATTATTCTGGATTCTAGTATCCAGGAACTATGAAGCATAATGGCTTTTACATCTTCCAATGATTTCAACTTTAGTCACCTGAGCATTCCCACTTTTAAGTACAAATTTGCCATTTAACCATTTAAGTCTCACCACAAACTCCTTCCAAGGATATAAGGCACATCAACATAAAAGACTAAGACAATGCTAACATTTATACAGTGTGTGTGCTTCTGTTCAATACTGTGTAGTGTGGGGGATAAACTTAAAGAAAAATACACTTCACAGAAAACTAACGATATAAAAATAGCTCTAGCAAAGCTAATAACAATCTTGGTCTCATATTTATCTTGTATTATTATAATCATGGCTTCAGAGTGTTAATTTAATGTAGCTGTGTATATCTGACTCTAGAATTTTTGGCTTAAATAATTAAACCACATTAGGGGATAGTTTTATCATAAAATAATAGCCCAGAACAATTCATTTCTTAAGAGTCCCAAGATCTCTAAAAATTACAGAGTAAAGGATCTTGGAACTTACCCACTTTAATAAGATTGTTAATCTTTTAAGTAGACTGTGTGGTTAAGAGACTAGTGGGAGTAGGGGAGGCTTTAAGTATGAGGTAATAAGGGAAGTGAACATAACTAAAGTTCATTACATACATGTATATATATAGGTGTCATGATAGCCATTGTTTTGTATTATTATGTTAATTAAAAAGGAAAATAAGGAGTATCTGTATTAAAACAGAATCATGTCCTTTATGATTCCTGACCTAGCTAGAGACATCCAAGGGGAAGGGCATTTTCTTAATTAATGATTGATGGGGGAGGGCCCAATCCATTGTGAGTGGTGTCAGCCCTGGGCTGGTCTCATGTTCTGTGAAAAAGCAAATGAACAGGCCGAAGAGGGCAAATAATCATTCATGGCTTCTGCACCAACACCTGCCTAAAAGTTCCTGCCTTGACTGACTTCAGTGAAAAACAGTGATACGGGAACGTAAGCAAAATAAACCCATTCCTCCCAAAGTTGGTTTTGTTCACGGTGTTCATTACAGCAATAGTAAACCTAAGATAGATTCCAATAGTTATGTAATCTAATTTATATGAGCACTTTACATTTGGTGGCATAAAAACATTTAGAAACTTTCTTGTAAGTTTTCATGCCTATTTTCTTAAGTGTTTCATAACCCTGGGCAAAACTCAAGGTCTTACACATGATAGATAGGCAAACCACTCTACCACTGGGCTATATCCTCAGCACTATGCATTTTCATTATATTTGAAACAGACTAACGTGCAACTACTTCTTAGCAAAATATCTGGTGCACAGAGGGTATCAGGAAATATTTGGAAATTGGTCAAAATCAGAATTTAAAGATGGGTCTCTTTCAAGGGTTACAACATTTCTAAGTTACAGATAGCATACATTCAAGAAATTCATCATTAAGGGTGATCTCAGGGTTTACACTGCATTATCTGAAGCCAAACAACTAATTTATAACAACAATGTAGTAGTAGCCATGTCCATCAGCAGACTCTAGTTCTTACAGTTTACTATAACTGGATGTTAAAGTAAATGGGAAAACTTACCATTATATATGTCCCTTTACATATCATTTTAACATTGAATGTGTACAGGTTCCAAAAGCTTCCAATATTATTAGGGGGACTTGTAAACACAGAGACCATGCTAATGCAGGCTTTTTACTTAAATACAAAACTGTTTCCTTCATAATTCTGAAACCAAGTATTTAAAATTCAGTGTAACAACAAGCAGGTAAGGAGCATGACAGAGTAAGACTGCAGTTCCTCTGATAAGCCTCAAGTGTACAGATTAACCTACACACCATGCTAACAAAATCTTCAAACCAAAATACCTTCTCAAATCTGTTTCACAGTAAGAAATAAATATCCTGCTATTATTGATTCCTCCCACCAAGGTCATGTTTACAGATACAGTAAATGCAGTAACAGCAAAATACTTTTTACTTGTAGGAAGCCCATGGCTCCATATCTCACCACAACACTATGTGAGGATTGTGTTAGCCTAATTACTATTGTAGAAATAAATTTAATTCAAACTACAAGTCAGAAAACAGCATTTAAGTTGTATGGATTTAACAGCCTTTTAAATGTTATGAGAACTAAGTGGGTTAAGGCATAAAGACCCCATTTATCAACACACTTGGAATGAAAGCTGCCTGTTGAGGTTGAGGTTTGATGATGGATCATTTAATTACTTTTGAAAATCTAGCAAAAATTTACCATAAGATAAAGAATGCCTTAATGCTGAATGCTCATTTTTAAAAAAGGAACTTTATTAGTTATGTTAAATACAACTCAAAGGGTTCTGAGGTAACAAAGAAAATGACACTGATTCCATTTGAGTTTTTTCCTTTGGCATTAAGATCCTGTTATTTAAGGGTGTTTCCTGGGGTTAACAGTACATGAGCAAGAGCAGACATCTGCTTTGATTATCAAGAAAAACGTGAGTTTTCTTTTCATTTCTTCTTCTTCTTTTTTTTTTTTTTTGCTTAAATCCCATGATTTTTTTAACTGAAATTTGGGGGGCTTTGTCTTCCTTATCATAGGTTAGGGCACTAGATTATTAAGGCCACAAATATGAAGACATTACTATGAGTAGCTCCTCTGATTATTTGCTGAGGCAGGGACTCAGGTAGCCCAGGATGGTCTTAAACTTGCTCTGTCATTCCTGAACCAACTGCCTTAGCCTCCCAAGAGCATGGATTAGAAGTGTGTGCCATGATGACTTGTACAGTCAGAAAGTAAACACTGCTGGGCACATTGGTACACATCATGGCCCCAGCACCCAAGTGACTACCGGAGAATGACTGCAAATTTACAACAGGTGAGGCTCTATAGACAGACCCTATCACAAAACAATGAAAATTGAAAAATAAATAGTATATAAAGAATATACAAAATACATTACTTATATCTATGTGGCAAAATTAGAGTTTTTTTTTTTACTATTTGTAGTTTTAAATTATTATTTATTCATTGCTTATACAATGTATCTTTTGAAAGTATAGAAGTTAACTATAGAATGCTATGGTGAGATCTTATCAGCCATACAACAATCTTGATAATAAATAGCTGTAGCGTAGGCAAACCTGACAGTCTAGTGACTATTCAGACAAACATACTGACTATGCAAGGCACTGAATGAGATATACTTTCTAAGTCTTTAAAAGGACATCTGAAAAACAAATCAGCAGTGCTTTTAAGCCTATGGGCACCCACAGGTTCCAGAGTTACTTGTACAGCTCTGCTTTTTATATGGGATTTCCAACTAATCATTACTCAATTGTTGTATTGGTAACTTAATTACAAAAACACTTAAAAAGTAAATCCTAGTAAAGCATAGCCATAGCTCTGATGTATGAGATGACTTTTCAACTTTTCTATTTAATGCTTTAAAATATAGAAATTTGACAGCCTAGTCTCTATCGCCAGTTCCAGGACAACCAGGACTATGTAGAGAAAAGCAAATAACAAAGAAAACAAACGAAACAGACAACAAAAAGAACATGTAAAAGCTATGTCATCCTATAGAGGTAATTCTAATTTACAAAGCAAGGCAAGCTTTTTCTTATGTCATGCTAATATAGCTGAGCACCTGTACAGCTGAATAGTTTGTACAACTATTCTACAAATATTCACATGAAGTTAGGAAGAAACCACAGAAAGAGAGCTATTACCAAATACGACTACAATACCTTGACCAAACCCTCAGTGGTTCAAAAGTCAAAACATCCCTTTATAAGAGAGTCATAAATTTTATTGAGCCAAGAAGTTGGTCAGAATGTTCAAAGTGGTAATTAATAGAAATAAAGTTATGAATAGCAGCCTTTAAAGAAGCATTTCCTCATTAGAAGAAACATTTAATGTCCAAGGTAGTGAGGGAGACCCTTCTTCCTTTTCTAGTCTTAGAGTGTCTTTTATTGTCAAATCCATATTTTCTTGAAACTTTTTATATGTGTTGATGATTGGTAGAGCTAAACTGTTACTACATTTGTTTCCAACAGGAAAATCCATATGCAGACATTCAATTGAAGGAGGGGGTTTAAATCCAGCAGGTGGAACGGATCTACATCCAGTTGTAAACACAAGAATGTCTTCCATTGTCGTTGCAGATGTACCATCTGAAATGTTAGCAATTAAAGAGAAAAGAAAATTAAATCCAAACATATTGTTGTTATCACAAACACTTTCTCAACTAGACTGAAGATCCTGCCATTCATCTAGAGCAAACCAAAACACAAGGTATGCTAAGTAGTACAATCAATAAGTGAATCTCAAAGTAGGACTTAAAAAAAAATCAGTCTCCCCATTTATTATATACTTCTTTTATATAATCATTAATATGATAGATCAACAAAAGCTGAAATAACACTAAATGGTGAAAACCAAAAATTTGAAAAAAATTTCAACTTCAAAATTAAAATTTTCTCCTAAAAATGGAATAATACAATTAATGTGTACTAACAATTACTAATGGTGTAGTGAAAAGTAGATACAGAATAATCAGGATGATTTTAAATTGAAAAGGATGAAGTTCTATCTATCTATCTATCTATCTATCTATCTATCTATCTATCTATCTATCTATCTATCTATCTTCTATCTTAAGCTGCTTTCCAGCAGGCAGTGGTGATACATGCCGTTAACCTTGGCACTCTCGAGGCAGAGGCAAGTGGATTTCTGTGAATTCAAGGACAGCCTGATCTCCAGGGGAGTTCCAGGAAACACTATCTTAAAAACAAAACAAAACAAAACGAAACGAAAACCCAAAAGACCAAACCAAACAGCTTTCCATCTTAAACTGTGTGTGTGTGTGTGTGTATGTATGTATGTATATATATATATATATATATATATATATATATATGTACTTATACATGTATGTGTTTATAATAAGTGCACTGAGTAACTTTCCTTTGTAAATACAAGAAACAACTACAAGTCTTCGTAATGTCAAGAGCAAAATACTAATAAACATTTGAAAAGAATTCACGTACCCTCGACAGCCTGTAAGTAACTCTTCCAAAACCTCAAAGTTTGTACATCTGGTAATCCATGGACTGTGAAAAGATCACTGAGGCTTTTTGCAGAGAGAGTCTCAGGTTTACGACACAGTATGTTATAAAAGACTTCTGGATAAGTTTGAATTTTCTCTAAGACACCAAGCGTTTTCAGACCCTGTTTAAAACTTGGGAAGAGAAATAATGAGCCAATATAGATATATATGTGTTTTATAACAAATTTATCTGGCATTTTATAAAAACCTGATTAAAAGAACAAAACAGTCCAACAAAAATTACTATGTGGATTCAGATAAGAGATACAATATTAGGATATACTTTCAAATCAACAAAAAATGTATTGATTATTTTATATCACTGGTTTTAAAACTGTATTTTATTCTAAGTGGTAAATACTAGCTTGCATGGTTTGAAAAACTGTTCCTATAATTGTTAATGAAAATCCTAGGAATAATTCTCTTTACCTAGGGTGGCTCAGAGGTCTGTAAAATGGTGACTATTGCCAATGCTCTTGTTGCCCAGCCAACTATATGTTAAAAGCTTACTGATAGAGGCACCATGAAACATCACTGCAAGAAATAGGGAAATCACACTCTCCAGATTAACAGGAAACTACCTCCATTTCTTATTGATTAGCTTTCACAGTGCCAAAGGTGCTATGTAGGGTGCTGAGGGAGAAAGCCATCAATGCTCTCAGCTAGCATGAGGCCATGTATGCCACAATACTAAGCTACCAGGCAAGATGTGTTCATTGGTACCACATGACAAGGCTTTTTGGGGTGGGGGGACAACCAATCACTTTGTGTGGATTTAAGGCTTGCTCTGCAGAAAGGATGACTGGTACTGTAAACTTGATCAAAATTCCATGCCATAGCCCCTAGGAGGGCACTTCTTTTTTGCTAATCAGTCACGTTGTTAAAACTGTCTTCTAGATGTATGTTTATAGGCATAGATCGGGGGTTCTCAATGTTGATCAGAGAAGCTTATTTTTGCAGTGGATAAAATGCTGAGAGTACTAAGTGCTCAGTCCTAAATGGGACACATGTATTTCAGAGACAGAAGATGGGGACGAGGACTACATGAGCTCTCTCAGGCTAGGACATGGCTATTGTATTGCTGACCTCACATGCCTGCTTGATTCCTGTATTCAGGCACGCATGGAAGAGAGAGGCCCACAGGTCCCTACTAGCTGAGGAACCACTGGCAGTTGCTGACAAGTGGGGAGGGGATAGTCAATTATCTTTGGATGCCCCCACATGCATGAGCATATTGGCAGCAGTAACTGGTCCAAGAGGGATTAAAGACAGAGATGGTGACTGGCCCTAAAGTTGGAAAGGGGAGGTGTTGGGAATTCCAGGGAGGAGTTGAAGGGAAATACAAGGGAGAAATAAGCCTTCACATCAAAATTTGAATTTGACAAAGACAGAATGCAGGAAGAAACATTTTAATATAAATTTTTAAAAATATTTATTTGTACAACAAATTTGTCTGAAAGACTGACAGTGCATTAAAACATCAGCCAGAACAAAAAACAGAACATGTACTTAAAATGTAAATTCTGTAATATACAAAGACCAGGTTATTACTTTTGCTGATTAGACCAGATTGTTTACACTACTACTTGGATAATGTGCAATATTGATTTCTCTCTCTACCGACTTTCTCAGCAGGATGTTTTTGAACCCCTCGCAAGAGATTATATTGAAACTCCACTGAGAGTTTGACATTATCGGGAAGTAAAGGCTTTGGGACGCTCCAAAGAAATCAAATCACATTAGTACTAAAATCTGAGTCATAAATAGTAGCAAACAGCCTCATTATTTCAAAGCAGCCTGGCTACATTTTGAGGCCAACCTTGCATCTCCTTCCTTCTTAGCTATCAGGTCCTATTGTCCCCTACTCGGAAGTCTCTTTTGCAAATTATTCAGCATATCTTGTCTTTTATAAGTATTTTATACTTATAATCAGTCTATATGACAAATGGGTAAACGTTCCCTATTCATTTTCCATACTGCTGGCACAGCAGTGTGCCAGAATAAAACTTGACTGATTCAGAAGTACACTATATGATAGTCTCCATATCCTATTCCCTCATACTTTTATTTACAAATAGAACTTATAAGTAAGGATTTTGAGATGAGATAATCCAGTTTAGATTAGTATTGCTGGTACTAAATCTAATGACACTAAGAAAAGACGCACCTATGTAGAGACAAAGCGAATGAGAGTCAGAGATCAGTAACAAGTGATGCCTAGAGCTATCAGATATCAGAATGACTTCTGTCCTCAAGATTTATGGTAACAAGTATCTGTTGTTTTAAGGCACTCAACAGCTGGGGAGACAACTCAATCAGCAAAGTGTTTTGCAAGCAGGAGACTTAATGCTCAACCCAGAGTCTACATAAAAGTCCCACATGTTGTGGTGCACTCTTATTTTTCCATTCCTAAGGACATGGAAGTAGGAAGATCTGTAGGAAGGGGTTTCAGGCCTGAGAAACACCCTTCCTCAAAAAGAGGTGAAGTTGTCCCATGACCTCTGCGCACAGTTACAGCAGTGAGCATGAGTTCGTGGCACACACTTGCATGCATGCACATACACACAAGATGCTTGAGGTCCTAGGGTGGATCACCAGGACTGTACAATTTTAAAAACTGCCTTCATTTGTTGTGGTAACATTTTACGATCTACCAGATAAAGCCTCCCTGAAGATCAGAGTGCAAAGCTAGGCACACTAGTTAGCCATAGAGACGAGCACTTGGGAGACAGAGGCAGAGGGATCAACCTGGGCTACACGAAATTCATCCAGTCTAAAAGAGAAACAGAGCTCACATAAAGGTGATCCCAGCAATGAGGAGGTGGAGACAGGAAAGCATTTGGCTGGGCACAGAGAGGAATATAAGGCAGGAGGCAACAGGAGCTTAGGGCAGTTTAGGCAGTCAGTCAGTATGAGAATTCAGTCTGAGGATGAAGTTCAAACTTCATAGAGAACACTCAGGATTTGTGGATACATGATCGCGCATTAGGTCTGAGGTAGAGGTAGGAGCTAGTGGCTAGCTGCTTTGCTTCTCTGATCTGTCAGCTCCAAGCCCTCACCACAATATCTGACTCTGGGGTTTTTATTACTAAGACCTATTAGCACTCATGCAACAATTTCTCCACTTTTCAAAGGCATCTTGTTTTATATATAACATACAGATTTTGAAATTGTACTCCGTAGGCATAAAGACAAGACACTTTATAGTATCTAACTTAGAATCAGAAGTCTATGATCACTTTTGATCTGGAAATACTATCTGATTCATTCTGTTACATTGTTTTTCTTTTTCTTTTCCAAAACCTTTCCAATCAGGGCAATGATACGGTTACCTCAATAATTCCTTTGCTATTCCTCCAATCCTTACTCTCCACTCAAATGTGAGAACATCTTTACCTTCAACCTTCCAGTGAGCTTAAGCAGTAGAAGCTTTGATATAAACCTATGGCTCAATTCCTAGTAACTGGCATGATATAAGCATTATAAAACCAAGCTCATTAACTGTGAATTTGTGGTCCATATAAAAATGCCAGAAACCAAGCTAGGACAAGAGGGAAGTTTTGCTATTTTCAAGAAATACATACAATACACCATAGGTGAATAAAAAAAGTAAAAGCAGTACGGAAAATGAAAAGGGAAAGGCAACACAGTACAAGCAAACAGATTAACAAGGTAAGTGAGAACATATGTGAACTTAAAGCCTATAAAGTTTTGGAATTGTGAATAATTAAGCATCGAGGGGAAACCATTTCAACTTCCTTTTGTTGAAAAGGCTTTCTTGCCCACCCTCAAAGCTCTGGGTGGCTTTCTCCTCTGTCTAATTGCATCAACAAGCTGCAGCTAAGCAACAAAGCCACGAAACATACTTCTATAGCTCTGTGCACTACAGAAATTGTCACCTCTGTTCTTCCCCAGGCTCTGGGAGATGACACCCTTCCCACAAAGCCCTTATTTGTGGAGTGGCTGGGCTGTTTTAGACTCTGGTTACCTCCCTAAATTTCACAATTTTTCGCCATTTTTTACATAAAAGACGGGATTAGTCAGGCATTTTTTATCGTGTTTCTTGATATTGTGACTCCTATTATCAATCAGGTTTTAACTTAAAGACATTTAATAGGCTGTAACTAGATATTATTTTAATTAAAAAAAAAGAAAGCCACATGGTGGTAGTGAATGCCTTTAATTCCAGCACTCGTGAGACAGAGATAGGCAGATGTCTATGAGTTCGAAGCCAGCCTGTTTTACAGAGCGAGTACCAGGACTGCTAGGTCTACATAGAGAAACTCTGTCTCAGAAACCCAAAATAATAAATAAATAAATAAATAAATAAATAAATAAATAAAAATAAAATAAAAAAATACATAGGACTCACAAGCTTAGAGTCAGAAAATATTTGGATATATGTAAAAGTTATGTGCTAAGCTGTAGTTTTAAAAATCCAAATGCCCATATGAAATTGATTATGTGGGAGAGATAATGGATTCTTAAAGAGATCTTTAAAAAGGAGAAAAGGAGTCAGCAATGGTGGCACAGGCCTTTAATTCCAGCACCCCAGAGGCAGAGGCAGGGTCTCTTGAGTTCAAGCCAGCCTGGTCTACAGATTGAGTTCCAGGACAGTCAAAGCTATACAGAGAAACAATTATCTAGAGAAGCAACAACAACAACCCCGCCCCACACAAAACAACCAAAGAAACAAACAAACAAACAGAACAGAAAAAGATGCCTGAAGGCTAGAATACATCTAATAAAATAAATGTGTATATACTTATTTGGTATTATTTAATACGTGAGAGCTAAGTATTTTACAGCTACATGAATATTTATGTAAAAGTTTAAAATCAAATCAATAAAAACTAAATCACTGAAAAGGGAAACACTAACCCAGAGACTATATTGAGGACTATGCATCCCTGCGCAAAAGAAAACAACTTCGTTTTGGTGGCATGTTATTGTTTCTGAGGAGGCTGTTTCTAAAATGTTGAATAAATGAAGCAAATAATTATTTTGTACTCTTCTCTGGGATCCATTAAAAACAAGACAAGACAAAGCAACAACAAAAACAAACATAAAAATCCAATAGATTTCTTTTCCTGTGTATGGATGCTTTGCCCAAATGTATGTCTGTACACCATATGATCACAGCGCCCAGAGGACAAAAGAGGACATTGGATGGTTGTTAGACGACAGGTGGTGGTAAGAACCAAATCAGATCCATGGCAAGAGCAGCCGATACTCTTGACTGCAGAGCCACCTCTAGTCCAGCAGTTCTCAACCTTGGATCACTACCCTTTTGGGGAGTCAAATATCAGACATCTTACATGTCAGATATTTACATTATGATTCAGTAGCAAAATTAGCTATGAAGTGGCAATGAAATATATTGTTTGGGGGTCATCACAACACAAGGAACTGTGTTAAAGGGTCAAAGTATCAGGAAGATTGAGATCCCAATTCTATAGGATCCTTAAGAACTAGGATTGAATTGGGGTTATTATCCAGATGTGACAATACACATCTGTAACCTTAGCAATTGGGAGGTAGAAGAAAGGGTAACACAGTTCAAAGTCAACCTATGTAAGAAGTTGGAGGCCAGCCTAAGTCTTTAAAAAAAAAAAAAAAAAAAAAAAAAGTAGCTAAATCCAAATGTATTGGCTCAAGCCTTGATGTTACATTGCCTTAAAAGCAAAGGAGCAGGACAAACCTGGTTAGAAGAGCATGCCATCAAACATCAGAAGAGCTCAAATGAAACAAAGATTAAAGGGATACACTGAGATGTGTATGGTGGAAGATACCTGTAATCCTAGGAAGAGCTTCAAGATATAAGCAAGCATAATGAAATGGATTAAGATATATCAGATATTTGTTTGAAACTCAATACCAAAAGAATGGTAAGGCTGAACAACTCATAACCTTATGTTTGATGGGGTGGTCATATATATATATACACATGTACATATTAGTAGTAAAATATTTACTTTTTTTTTTTTAAGTGGAGGAGCTAGAGATGGCTCAGCAGTTAAGAGGGCTTACTGTTCTTGCAAAGGACCTGGGTTTGGTTCCTAGCACTGATGAGGTGACTCACAATCATCTATAACCCCAAGCCCAGGGGATCCAACACCCATTTCTGACCTCTGTGTATTCTTATACAAATGGTGCACAAACACACACTCAAGAATATCCACATAAATTTTTAAGGGGGTGAGTGGAAATAGAAACAAGAGGGATCAGGTGGGGGTGGGGTGGAGAGAGAGAATACTGGGAGATAAAACTGGAATTGAGGGGACGTGTTAGAAGTGAGATAAAAACCTAGTGCAACGGAAACTACCCAGAAGGTATAAGGGTGACCCCAGAGAAGATTACTAACAATAGGGGAATACAGAGGCAAGGCAAGGCTTCCAGTGAAGGACTGGAACTCCAACCCAGCCACAAAACATTTGCCCTGCAATTTGCTCTGCCTGCAAGATGTGCAGGGATAAAGATGGTGCAGAACTTGAAACCCACACCAGGTTTGGAAGCCCATTCCTAACACTGCCTGGAGGGGAAGAAACCAGAGGCTGAATAAGCCAGAGACCTAGGGTAGAACCAAACAGGAATACAAAAAAAGTTAATGATATTATTCCTAAAGATATTCTACTATATTCATACACCAGAGTCTAGCATAAATATCAGAGAGGCTTCATCCAGCAACTGATAGGAGCACATGCAGAGACCCACAGTCATACATTAGGTGGAGCTCAGGGAATTCTGTGGAAAAGAGGGAAGGAGATTTGTAGGAGCCAGTGGATGTCAAGAACAACATAAAAAGACCCACAAAAATCAACTAACCTGGGCTCACAGGGGCTCACAAGGCTGAAAGGACAATTGAGAAGCCTGAATAGCTCTTGCCTGCTTTTTCGACCCTTTTCCTCCTACTGAGTTGCCTCTCACAGCCTTAATATGAAATATGTACCTCATGTTATGTTTGGTTGATATCCATGGGAGGCCTGCTCTTTTCTGAAGGGAAAAGGAAGAGAAGATCTGTAGGAAAAGAGAAAACTGTGGGGAAGGACAGGAAGGGGAGGGGAAATTGCAGTTGGGATATGAGGGAAGAATAAATAAAAAAGGGGGAAAAAGCCGGGCGGTGGTGATGCATGCCTTTTAAGCCAGCAATTGGGGGGCAGAGGCAGGCAGATCTCTGTGAGTTTGAGACCAGCCTAGTCTATAAGAACTAGTTCCAGGACAGCCTCCAAACCCACAGAGAATCCCTGTCTCACCCCTCCCCCCAAAAAAAAGGTTGGGGAGGGGAGGAAATCTGGCCAGGTGGAGAAGCACATATCTTTAATCATAGGATCTGAGTTTGAGGCCAGCCTAGTCTATGTAATTAATTTCAGAAAACACAGGACTATATAGAGACCCTGTCTCAAAAAAGTAGGAGGTGGAGAAGAGCTTGGGGAGAAGTCTCAAACTTTTTAAAAGTTATTATTGGGACAAATGGTTTCAACAATAATATTCTGAAGAGCAGACTAGAGAGATGACTCTTCAGAGTACCCAGGGTTAATTCCCAGCATATACAAGGCAGCAGACTACAACTCTCTGTAATTCCAATCCCTCTTCTGGCCTCTGTGGGCACCAGGCATAACATGCAAGGTACACACACACACACACACACACACACACACACACACACACAATTACCCCTTAGGAAGAGTAAGAATCAGATCTGTATTTCAAACCAAAGAGTGGTTAGTACCTATTTTACCAGCAGATGAGAGATGCTCAACAGTCATTACATTAACCAGTAGAGATAGTATTAGTTCAAGTGGTTACAACTTTTTAAGTGAAATTTTCATTAGAAATTTTCATGCAGTTCTAGACAGAATTGGAACAGGACTTATGCTAAGAGCATAAGCTTTAAAATATTATTTTTAACAGTATTAGCATTCTCTGAAATTAAGCATTTGTGTTTATTACCAAATAATCACTTTCAATGTAATTTGGTAGAATCTTTAACACAGAAACAAACAACTTACCTCTCAAGGGGTATTTGGACTCTCTGAATTACATGGTAGAAAAGGATGTCTTTTACCAATGTGTATTTATCATTTAGTGATGTTATAAGTCTTAAACATCCAATAAACTCCAGGTAACTTGAGCATTCATTTACTACTGACTTCAAACTGTTTATAGTGGCTGCAGTATTTATCTGTAACACAGAAGAAACATGTTGGGCTCACTTTACCCATTTATTCTGAGTGATAGCTAAAATTCATATGATATGCACTTTATATTCCATATTATTTTTAAAAATGTGTGCATGTGTGTGGGTTTGTGATTGTGAATGTGGGTGCCTACAGAGGATCAGGTGTTTCATGTGGTTGTGAGCAACCAGCCATGTGTGCTGGGAATTAATTTGGGTCTTCTCCCGAAAGCAGTACCATCTCTTTTTGTGTGTCTTTTGAGACAATAATTGCAGTTCCTTGACTGACCTGGAATCCTCTATGCAGACCAAGCTGATCAGGAGTTATAGGATCTGCCTGCATTTGCCTCCTAAGAGCTGGGATTGAAGGCATATAGCTTTTGGACTCTTAACTGCTGGACTATCTCTCCAGCCCTATATTCAACTCTTCAGTACAACAGGGTAGAATAAAATTATGCCAAGAAATATATTAGAGAGGTCCTTTCCCATCCTGGAAACCCCATGATGGAAAGAGAAAAATCAATACCCACAGGTTGCCTTCTTACATCATGTACACTATGGCATGAACACATGCCACACCCACCAAATCCTATGGGCAATAATTTGCTACTTCCTACTCTAAAACTGACAAATGTTTACACTGTCAAACTCCATGACAGTATAGTACATTAATGCTTATCTTCTGTGCCTTTTCTAAAACTTAAATTCGGAGGTTAAGATATTTACTAATTCAGTATTCTATCTTCAATAATAAAACGGTTCAGGACACATAGTATTTAATGACTAAATGAATGAGCAAAGAGTCCAAATGGAACTTTTGGAAGAATTAGGAGAAATATTAGAATACAAATTTGAGTTTGGTGGAAAGGTCACACTAGAAATAATGGAAGTCAGATATGCCACTTTTATATACTAATAACTTGGGATATACTTGGGAAAATATATTAAGAAAGAATGAAAATTATCCCTTTTCTTATAAATCAAAAAGTCCTGGAGAAAAGCAAAGAAAATCTTTGGTGTGGGGAAGGAATTAGCTTTTGCCTTATAAACATATTAGTGTGCTGGCAAGATGCTCAGCAGGTAAAATCCTTCTTACATGGATGAAGACCTGAATTTCATCCTTGGGTCCCAGAGTAGAGGGAGAGAACTGATTCCTCAAAGCTGTATTGTCTTCTTACCAATGTGTGCCAAGACAGACATGCAACACACATATAGTAAGTGAAAATAAAAGGAAGATTCTAAAATTTACAAAGGGTAGGTGAAGAGATGGCTCAGAAGTAAAGAGCACTTGTTGCTCTTTTAGGACTGGAGCTCTGTTCCCAGCACCCATATCAGGTGGCACACACAGCTTCAGGAGATCAGATGTCCTCTTCCAGCCACTGTAGGCACCTTCACACATGTGTGCATACCCACACAGATGCATAAATAAAAACATAAAAGGAAACCTTTGAGAAATAGATGTAACTTTAGCAAGGCCTGGTGGCACATGCCTATCTGTAATCACTTGGGAGGCTGAGGAAAGAGGATTGAGTTAAGGCCAGCCAGCTTAGGCTACAGAGAACCTACCTCAAAAAAAAAAAAAAAAAAAACTACCAAAGGACTCTAGTGTCAGACAGGGACTGCTAAGGCATCCACCCTTATATACTGAACAACTAAAGGATTCTCTACCTTTTCAGTGTAAGACAGCCACTGTTGGACTACATGGACCACATCTGGTAAGCAAATCTTTAAAATGTATGTTCAAGCCCCACTAGATGTGACAGCCCTCCTTCAGTTCCAGCACTTGGAAGGCAGAGACAGATAAGTCTCTGAATTTGAGGCCAGTCTGTTCTACATATCGAGTTTCCAGGCCATCCACCAGGGCCATCTAGGAAGACCCAATAACAACAACAAAACAGAAATATTCATTCTATCACTTCTGTTCCTTCAGAGAACCCTGGGATCTCTCATAGGAGGAAGGACAAGCATTCTGACTAGTGAGACAAATCCATCTCTTCAGGTCACCCTTCAAACAGGAAAGTCTAGTTTATCTGCTTGCAGGGTGCATTAAAGAACTTGCCTCAACCTAGTCTTGGCCACTTTGACCATAAATCTAAGTAACATTAAATACTGGTCTTATTAGCACTAAACCTAGCACAATGTTCATCTCTAGCTATCTGACTTTTACCCTTCTTTTTGTAAAAAAGACAGGCTCTCAAAATGTAGCTAGGGTTAGCATTGACCTCTTCAATGGTGAGATTTGTAGAGACGTGTTCAACCATGCCCGGCCAGATTGGTTTCTAACCTGGTTCTGAACTCTTCGGATGACATAACAGAGCTACCACTTATATTAAAATGCAGTTAGAATGTAATTTATATTTTAATATACAGATATTTTTTCTTACCTTGATTATAATTTGTGCCACATCAAAGTCTAAAACATCAGCCAAACTTGGTAGAGTATTTTCAGGTCCATAAGCAAGACAGTTAAACAAAGTTTCAGAAAAGAAACCAGGTGAAGTACCACCATGAACTAAAGAAATGGCAACCATTTTTCCAGCTTCATAGTAAAGGTTCTCTTTTAGAGCTGTAAATACAGATCAAAAAAAGAAAAAAAAAAACACATACAAAAACCTGAATATATAAAATTAACCATCATTTAAAATGAATGTATTATATAGCTAAAAATTAAAAATAAAAACACTTGTAAAAAAACTTTAAGAAGCCACCATCCTGTATATGGACCTTTCCTAGAAATCTACTGAAAAGCTGCCCCCTGGATATAAATAACCTATTGTAGAACAGAATGTAAATGAATGAGAAAACAAAATACCTATAATCAGGGGCTGGAGTCATGGCTCAGCAGTTAAGACACTTGCAGAGGACATGGCTTTACCTTCCACCATCCACATGGTGGCTCACAATCACCTATACCTCCAATTCCAAGGGACCTGGCACCCTTTTCTGACCTTTGAAGGCCAGGCATACAAGTGGTGCACAGACATACCTGCAAGCAATACACTCATTCACATGAAGTAAAAATGAAATCTTTTAAAATGTGACTATAATTAATTGTATCACAATAAATATAAATCCTCTGGCTTATTTTTGTGTGTATATACACACACACACATACACACACACACACACACACACACACACACATATATACACACACACACAAACAAATATACATATATTGGCTTCTGCTATATGGTGCAATTCTCTCAAACTTGAATGAGTTAAAAACTATAGCTATTAGATGCCTGATACTAGAAAATACTATAGTACAAAGCATCCCTTCCTTACTCCTGGCTATGTAGGTTATGTGACAAAAATGTCATACAAATAACTGAGACATAATGTTGAAATCACTATCAATTTACATATTCTTGCTAAAATACATGATCTGATCAGATCATTTCATAACATATAGTATTAGTGAATCAAAGGATATGAACAGTTAAGGTTGTTGACAGATATTAATTATCTTACAAGAAGTGAGATTTACTTCCAACAGTATTATTTGCTACCATACCACACACTCATAGCTCTAAGTACTTTTTTAAAAAGTTATCTACAATGTTTTAGCAATAATGATGGGTAAGAAAGATGTGTAAATGTCAGTTTATACTTATACTCGTTCTTCAAAACAATTTATTAATAAGTAATATTAAATCTTCAACAATAATCTTATTTGTAGCTAGTTTACAGCTTTAAAAAAAGACCTAAATCCAGGGAGATTAATGGAAATGAAAACTACTAGGTAGATATATGCAGACTTGAATTGAGGTTTTATAGCTTATAGCTCTGTGCTTTCCATTGTGCCAAAGCTACCTTGAGTTAATAAGTTAACATAACTAATTGTGGGGAAGGGGTAGAACTAAACTGTTTATATTATAAATACCAAAAAATATTCAAACATCAGGCAATGATAAAGGAAGAGACTGAAATGCAAAAAAATCTTACTCCTTTTTAATTTCCTTATTTTAGGAAAACTCTTAAGAAAAACCAAACCAAACCAAACCAAAAAAAAAAAAAAAACCAACAACAAATGCCCCTCGAAAAAAAAGAAAAAGAATGAACAATAAGAGTCCAATAATTATCCATTTCATCTGGTCATGCTAGTCAAATTATATTCAAGAAAATGAAGTTTAAATTAAGATATTTAATTATGAAATACTTTTTAATTACATGTCACCTATGTGTCTGCAAAAAGTATAGGAGCCGGAGGGCGGCATAGGTGCTGATACCCTGAAGCTACCTTAAGGGCTGCTGGACATGGGTCCTGGAAATCCGGTCCTCTGCAAACACAACAAGCATTCTTAACCACTAAGCCATTTCTCCAACCCCAGATATTCTGAATCCTTCCTTCAAAAATAGCAAATTCTCATTCATAACAAATGCAAATTATTTATTCCAGATATAACTAAAGAATCAATTACAAGCATCTATCTTGTTTTTTTGCTATACATGCTATTTTCAGTACAAATAATAATAAAAAGTTACCTTGAGAATTTAGAGTCAAGTTCTTTGACAAAGACCCTTCAAACAGAGATGAAGTCTCAAGATATTGCATTAAGTGGCTCAGAAATTCCTGCTTTGATCCAGGATGCTCTCTTCCCAAGTTATCATTTTCACTAACATACATTACTTCAATGGTGTATGAAGGGTTAAACTTCTGACTCTGGAACTGCTCTAAGGTACTCCTCCACACATTGGCTTTGTTGATATGTAATCTCTTAGCCTTCTTTTTAATTTGGAATCCTAACTCTAGCAATATTGTTGAAATGTCTCTCCTAAATTTGCTGCCTTGCCTAGAAAACACAAATTCAAATAAAGATCATTATTGTAAAGCAAATTCTGTGGAACAACAATTATACAACATTAAAGTTGTAGTTCTTTTTGTTTGTTCTGTTTTTAAGTTTAAAAAGACAGCTTTTTTTTTTTGATGATATTGGAACCAAAACATTTATCAGATTATCTACTTTTAAATTCCCACAATCTAACCCCAACTTATAATCACTTAACATTGAAGTTTATTTGAATATCTAATTCAGTGGACTCAAATTTAAGGGTATGAAATTCAAAATATTACTTACTGGCCAATAGCTAAAATAACTCGATTGTATCAATAATGTATTCTCAATAGTGTAGCTACAACTGATAATGCAGATATTATCAACCGAACTCATGTTCCCTTAAATATCTTTCAATCTAATCATCTATGCCAACAGCATCATCTGTAAACTAGTTACAAATGCAAATCCTTGAGCCCCCAGGCACGTCTGCACTACCAAAATCTCTGTGTATTAGCATCCATGAAGCACATGAGTTAGATTAACTTCTTTCTGCCCCAGATTTTCCATCTGCAGGCAGAACTAATGTAGTCAATGTACATGGATCATCTTTCTATAACATTGTCCTACCCCAAACATTGCAGCCACATTTTATTATAGCAGTTGATTCCTTGCTCCTTGGGAATGTCAATGCTGCTCTTCAAGCATATAACTAGATGCTGAAACAGAAACAGTCAAGTTTCTCTAGTGCAATGTCTTTAGAAACCCAAATATTAAAATTATGTTCAAACAATGAATCATTCTAACATAAAAATAACTATAGTTTCCAGTTGAATTAGCGAAGAGAAACTATTTGCTTAAGGCCCCTGACATTAACTATATATAAAGTAACCAATGGTTATAAAATCAAGAAACCAACCTTTGTGTTAAACAGGACTCTTTTATAGAGGGACACGGTGTGCTTGATAATTGAACTTCTTGCTTTAGTCTGTAATTGAATAATGTTGTAAAGATATTTTCCAGGATGCTTAAAATCTTTAAAATATCTTATATTATGGCTCAGTATAAAAGGAGAAAAATACTAAAATTGATTAATATAGCCTGATACCTTGCTTATCTCCCTCCCTTCCTTTATAATACAGACTTTCATATAGCCCAGGCTGGTCTCAAATCCATTATGTCGCTACCAGTATGTGACCTTGCCAAGGTATTCTATGTCCTCCCACCCTTCCTTGACTTCATGCATCCCATGTTGGGTCCTACAGTTTGAAAATCATACAACTGTATGATCAGCTAATAAACTAAGTGTGTCTGGCATCTTAAGTAATAATTTTCAAAGTGACTTTTCTAAAATCAATACACATACCTCAGCAATTCTTTATGCTGGGCTCCAGCTGACTGTCTGGGGAGCTTAGGTGATGACTCTTCCAACAGGCAATCAGTAACTGTCACATTAGTAGAGTTGGCTAACGGGTGTTTGGGGGCCTTTCGGAAATCTACATATTTAAATCCAGAGGTTAGCTTAACAGAAACTTACATAAACATTTTCAAGAACATACACTTGAACAAAAATAACTTTGTTCAAACTTACAAACTATTACCTGAATTGTAGGTGATTCTTCTACAGTCCAAACACTCCCAGTTTTGTTCCAGTGACTGTAGTGTAGAACAGGCTAAGTGTGTTCCACTAGAACCACAACACTGACAGCGCTTTACTTCCCATTTGCTGAGGACATAAAAATAGTATATTTGCATGTTCTGTGCATGCTGGATGTCATTCAGATTAGCACCTAAATCCAGCCCTCTGTCATACACCACACCAACCTACCAAAGGAAGGAAAAGACTATGCCCCACGAAAGTACTGATTGAGGCAGGGTCTGGCTAGGCACTCCAGACTGGCCGTGACCAGTGGCCTTCCTACTTTATCATCCCAAATGCTTGGATTATTGGAATGCCATAGCACATCTGATTCTAAAGTATTTTCTCTCTTCATTTAATGTTTATAATCTCTTCCTCTAAACATCCTGAACTTAAAAACCTAAATGAATACTGATATACATATATACAAAGAATATAAATATCAGAAAAGTTTATAAGGAGAAAAATATTTTCCTTTACATTTGGAGATAGATTACATTCAGAGAGAGATTACTGTTCACTATCTGATACACAAGTTTGCAATATGAAGGTATGCAGGATTTCCAAAACAAAACAAATAAAAAACAATGCTCTGACATATTTCAGATGCCATGCAATGCAACCAATATAGTTTGTTTCTGACTCATATTATATTATTTCTCATCTCTGCTCCTTTCTTCTTGTCACCCATTGTGCCTGTAATACCCATATACATTTCCATATAGGTGTATTATTAGGGTTTTGATTGCTGTGATAAAAACACCAAGACCAAAAGTAACTTGAGGAGGAAAGTGTTTATAGGATCATCACTGAGAGAACCCAGGGCAGGAACCTTGAGGCAGGAGCTGATGCAGAGGCCATGGAATGGTGCTACCTATTGGGTTGCCCTGCATGGCTTGCTCATCCTACTTTCTTATAGAGCCCAGAACTACCGGTCCATGGCACCACCAAACTGGGGTGATCCTCCCCGATCAACTAATTAAGAAAATGCTGTACAGATGGATCTTCTGGAGGCATTTTTCCAATTGAGTTTCCCTCCTTTTAGAGGATTAGCTTGTGTCAAGTTGACATAAACTGGCCAGCACACAGTATATACTAGAAAGATGTTGGACTGAAGCTTCTCTCACTTTCTGTCGGGATGAGTACACAGTCTTCTGTACAGAAACAGATATATTCTATGTGGAAACATGGGTGGCAAGTTGAATGGCTATTCTTCCAACACCTGTATACATAAGCATCTTCCACATTAGTGTGAATGGGTGGAGCATAGGTGCCTGACTCTGCCTCCTCAAAATAGTTCTACTCACCCACAATGACGAAGATAGCAGCTAAAATATGTGTTTACTACATACCAGGCCCCCTTCTCATTCTTTGTATAAAATGTTCAGCTTTTACAATTTTGAAAGTGGAATGAACCACTCACAGAGGGCTATTTCCCTAACCGTATATTCCTGTATGTCTTAGGGTGAGGTTTCCAATTCACTTTGCTTGGGCTTTAGACCCATGCTCCATACTACACTAAGTTGCCTTTGTCTTATTAGAATGGAAGGAATACAGTTACAAAGCAAGCATCCTTCATTACAACAGTTGCCTGTACCATAACCCTCCTGAGTTATGGGAGACTACATTAGCAGGACAATAACATATTTTTAAGAGAGTGATTAGGCCACAGAAAATCACAGAGACCACCATGAGGACACAATGAGGAGTCACCTGTATCACCTCCCGGCAATGCTTCTGAGTAAAACAAAGCCATAGGTCCCTAGGTCTTGCACCTCTAGCTCTAAAGCTCTAAAGTCCCATCCAGTCTTCAGCCCTTTGTTACAAGAGCTTTCAGCTTGGAATAACCTCATGAAAGTTTACCAAAAACACTTCCTATATTGACTATATATTGACACAATTAATAAACATACTTCATCTCAAGTTAAAACTTCAAAACACCCTAAGAGGAAAACTGCATTTCACACCCAGACAACCTACAGTCTTAGCTAACATCTTAGTAAGGAAGAACTAAACACAATGCAACTTGCAGAAATACCTATTGGGTTCATTATAGTCTCGCCCTTTTTTGCAATGACATCTTCGAACATCGCAGCGGTCATGGCTCTGCAACAGCTCTTGATAGGCATTTTCTTCTAATTCCCAAGATGCATCCCTATAATGAAGTAAGATGCAAAAAGTGTGTTGGTCTGACGGAATTAATAATTTAGAAACAAGGATGAAAGTACCTTTTTAGGTTGTTCTTTTCAACATAGAAATCTATTATGTTACTTTACCTTACAGTCAGTTTCACAGTTAACTTTCAAACACTAAGTGAAAAGTTGAACAGAATTTTCTAAAACCTCTATTATTCTAGTATTTCATTTCCGGTTTTTGTTGTTATATCCTAGGCTACTTCAAATTCAAGTCCCACCTCTTCCCAGGTTCTCAAGTTCTGGGATCCCGCCCCATTAGAGGCAGAGTTTCTCTGTTTAACAGACTTGTCTGGGAACTCACTCTGTAGACCAGGCTGGCCTCAAACTTACAAAGATCCACCTGCCTCTGCCTCCTAAATGCCAGGATTAAAGGTGTGTGCCACCACCACCCGGATCACATGCCGGGATTACTAAGTGTGTTTGTTTTGGTGTTTCTTTTTCCTCTCCCTGACCCAAGACTCTAGCCCAAGCAAGCCTAGAACTCACTTCACAATCCATGTTGACCTATACACCTTAAGCCTCCCAAGGACTGGGGTACAATTTTTACTTTCAAGTATTAATCACTGCTTGAGATTTCTCATCTTATTTATGGCATCACTAAAATTCTTCTTTTCTATTTTAAACCCATTGAGTCTGTCTTAGATTATCTATGGATACCAACTTAAAGATGCTATACATATCACCAGAATTGGACTTATCTGAGTTACTAAGAGACACATCAGCTAATGAGACACTGACACCATAGTGCCTGTTTCTCAAGAGCTGGCCATCTGGGAGAAGGCACTTGATCATGTGACATGGCTACTTAGCCACAATCACTATTAAGACAAAAATTATTAGTTTTAATGTTACTAAATACTACATTTAAATGCTTTTGGTTATAAAGCCAAATGTTACTCACTTTTCAGGAATATGAATTCCCATTCTCAACATCTCTTTCTGAAAGATATCGGTATTATTGCATAGTGTACACCTAAAGAAATACACTCCTGCATTTATTGCTTGAACCTACAGCAGAAAATGGAAAATCTATTGTTAGTAATGCATCTCTCACCGGGTTGTGAATTATATAACTAATAGAACATATGCTACCTTTTCCTTGATGTATCCTGAAAATATTTTCTATGCCAATGGCTCTCAGAACTATAAGCAGTCACCCTAAACACGGACAGCCTTTTCTCCTGTTTAAAAAGCATCTCGAAAACACATAATCCTTTCAACAGTCAATACTTTACTTTCTCGGACCGTAATACTACTTTAGTTTACTTTCTGCTGCCATGAGAAAACATGGATGAAAACAACCCCCAGGCCACTGTCTATTACTGAGGGAAGAAATTCAGGGCAGGAGCCTGGAGCATTGAGTAGCTGCTTCCATCCAGTTCAGAACCTGATACTTTTCTTGTACTACATAGGACACACCTGCTTTGGGGTAGCACCTGTTAACAATAGGCTAGACCCTCTTCCATCATTTGTAGTCCACACCCCACAGACATATGCATAGGCCAATCTGTTGAAGGCAAAGTCACAACTGACGCTCTCTCTTCCCAGGAGTACCTAGTTAAGTAGCCAAAAGCTAACCCGCACAGACACGTAAAACAATTTCATTTCCTAAATATCGATTTGTCCTCCACGGTATAAGGACAAACAATGAAAATCTTCAGTTACTTGACTAGGTGTTTATTATTATATAAAATTACTATTTGTTTTTAACTCAATGTTGATTTTTCCCCCAAAAGAGAAACACTGAATTTTCTAACAGTGTTATATAGCAAATACATAATCACAAACCAGATGACATCCAGAGGGATATAAGACACTATACATTGTAGAATGAGCAGCAGTCCCCCAAAACTAGTAACAGATATTCATTTAAGTTCTACTTCCTTAGATGACAAACAATGCTGTGTAGCAAAACTAGTAAACAAAGAATTCTAGTGACCAGGCACACAACTATAAAATAATGTGAAAGTATTATCTGTATGTGTGTCTATCTACGTGTGCATAGGTGTACATGTGGAGACCAGAGGCTGATGTCAGTCTTTTCACTTAATTTTTTTGAGGCAGCGTTAATTACTGACGCCAGGACTCACCTATTTAGCTAGACTGACTTTACCAAGGAGTTCCAAGAACCCATCTATCTCAGAACCCTTTCACTACCATTTCACCATGGCCCATGTTGAGGTTACAGACTAGTGCTGACATGCCTGGCTTTAGAAATGTTGTTTTGTTTTGTTTTTAAAGTATATACAAGGAACAAAGAGAAAAAGCCACTGATTAATAAAATATTGAAAAAAGGCAAGTTTTAGAATAGAGGTTTGCCAAGAAAAAAGAATGAAAGACATTTCAAGGGAAGTTTCCATAGTAAGACAGAGAGCATGTAATTTAGGAAATATATTTTAATATGACATTCTCACCAAACTGAACTAAATAATAAGACTAAACAGGTGAATCAAATTCAGAAAAAAGAGAAGCTTCAAGGAGAGTACAATTGTCAGAAAATAAAAAATCTATACCAATTAGTTTAGAGCAGTAAAGACAGTGATTACAACAGAAGAAGACACAAAACTATTATCTGGACTGACACAGTTGAGGGAGAGTTGATGGATGTTGAAGAAGAAATAGGATGGCAGGTTCAGATGCCTAGCACATGGTATACACACACAAGAAACATCAGAGAAGGAAGTATGTTGCTGGAATACCTAAATCATTGCAGATAGAAGACCATATCTTACTAAACATGGGGTTTGCCACTAAAAAGTATCTGGTAGAAAAGAAAAGCACAGAAACAAACCTGAGACAAAACTAACCAACTAACACAGAACAGGTAGAGGACACCAAGTCTCTGATGGAGAAATCCAAACTATGTAAACACCAGTCTTTTCATTTTAATGTCTTGTCTCTTGTTCACAAAATTTGTCTATGTAGTAATTGATATAGTTAGAAATGATGTTGCTTAACTATATACTGTAAGCTAGAGTGGGTATAGTTCTGATTTTAAATTCTGGAATCAAGAGTAGAAATCTCTATAGAATCTGTTAGAGAAAGTGACTGAAGAATTAGTGTGCTCTAATTACAGCAACTGCTTATTGATATATAATAGTCACCTTTCTTTGTGGATAGAATTCCAAACTAATTTTCTAAAAACAGCAGCAAGTTTTTTTGTTAGCAGACACACATACACACACACAGACTGTCTCTCTCTGTCTCACACACACTACTGTATGGGGAGAGGTGAGACAGACCCTATAATGTCTGCTCCAATTTACCACTTTTCACTGACTAACCTAAGGATGGAAGTCTAAGACTATATTTTAAAAAAAGCATAAATCAGCCAAGCTTTATTACCTCATTACTGCTAGAACTTCTACGTCTTTTTTTGAAATATAAGGTTTTTTAACACATGGTAACTTTCAAAAAGTTTGTGGACAATTAATAACCAGAAACATTTCACTTTACTGAACAAAATAAAATCTAAGTTTTATAAATCAATTTTTAAAAAGTAAATTTTTGTTATTTGGCATGGTTTTGACTAATACCACTTTCAAGCATTTCAAAATATTTATACATTTTCCAAATAAAGACATTATAATTACATTGAATGTTTAGTCTTCTGCTTGCTTGCAGTGATTATTAAACCCAGGGGCCTCATGCACATAGGCAAACAATACAATCACTGAACCATATCTCTAGCCCCATTTTTGGTTTTTATGATACTGACTGTATGAGTAGAGTGAACACAGGTTACTTAAGGAAAAGTGAGAAAAGAGCTATGAGTAACATAAGCTCTAAGAGAGGAATACCAGTATTTTATGATATTCTATTGCATCGACAACTTGACACCAGATTATAATTCAAATCAGCAAACATTTTATATTATAAAAGACAAAAACTACAAAGCTATATTACCTGTAAACAGTCTCGGTGAAACCAAGCATTCTTACAACAGGGACTCAGCAATATGTTGTAAGTTGGAATAGGCTCAATATATTCCAAACAGATGGTACATTGAAAAGTGTCTCGGTACTTATTAGATGTAATTACTTGAACCGGTCGATGTTTCCAGCAAAATGACCTGAAAATGGAAATAACTTAAGAATATATAAAGAAGAAACAAATACAACTCTGCTAATATTGTAATTTATAGACTTAAGAGAAGAAGATCCCCTTCTCTTTCACAAATGCATCTAGAAGAAATGTGGGCCCTCCAGTCTAACAACCTATAATCAAGGACAGGTGAGTGCCTCAAGATAGAAACTTTGTGGTGGTAAAACTTACCTCATACAGACTTTCACTAACAGTATCGATATTTCTGTTACTAAAGAGCATATTTACTCCTGTATTCACTGAGTTAGTACACACTACTGTCCTTAGTGTCACATAACTTAAGAAGGGAACTCAACCACTCGCATCAAATACAAACAACAATCTAGACCTGATAGACTTTATTTCCTGTGTATTTTCTAAGGGTTTCCATGGCATCTATACATTCTAAAAGTAAAATATGACGACTCAAAGAAATACTCATGGTACCAAATGCCAAAATTCACAAAATCTTCATGTTTGAAGTTGTACTCAGGGATATCCCAGGGAATATTTTCATTTTTAACTCAACCAAGATTATAGGGAAACAGAATTTGTGTACTGTGTAATATAATTAAAAATTTTCATTTTTAATTCAACCAAGCTTATAGGGAAACAGAATTTGTGTACCGTGTAATATAAAATATTTCACAGAAATATGAACCAAAATTTTAATACATTCTAGAGCTGAAAGTTGAATATGAATAATAATCTTGGGTCCATTTTAGTAGACATGGCAATTCTGAAGTTTTTATCAGATATAATTAACTACAGAAGAAATCCAGAATACAATATAATATTATATACAAACATATACATACACACACATACATACATACACACATATACACACATCTTGCATATCTTACATATATAACATGTATGTATAAATGTAGTACAGCTTTATAAAGTAATTTTACATGGGAATTATATCTTTGTGGCATCTACTTCCCATTGTTCTTTAACATTTACATTTAATTTTTTAGTAAAAAATTTTAATGTATACAAAGCGTTTTTTCCCACATATACATCTGTGCAGCAATTGTATGCCCAGTGCCCCCAGTGGCCAGAAGAGGGCTCTGGATCCCTTGGAAGTGAAGTTTCAGACAGGTGTGAGCTGCCAAGTGGGTGCTGGGAACTAAGCCTGGGTTCTCTGGAAGAGCAGCCAGTTCTCTTAACTACTGAGTCATCATTCCAGCCCCTCATATTTAATATTTAATTAACAGTTAAATAACTCACGCAAAATTGCCAGTAAACTGGAAAATACATTCTTTCTGAAGTCCACAGGGCAAGTGATAACTTCGTTTACATTGGGGTACAACACATCCAATTGAAGCACCATTTTTCTTGCAAACTGTACACTTCTAAAAGAAATATGAAAACAGGAGCATAATATAAAATTTTTCAGTACTATAGTATGATCAAATAATGAGTATTCCTTGCGGAGAGACTAAAAGTTACTGCTATACTAATAGTATATGCATTTGAACACAAGTGAGAAAAATTTAAGATATGTGCTGGGTAGGTTTTTTCTTCTTTTGTCATTTTGACGTGGCATAGTCTTCAGAGAAAGGGAACCTCAGTTGAGAAAACGGCTCCATCAGATAGGCCTGTAGGCAAGTCTGTGGGGGTATTTTCATGACCAGAAATTGGTGGGGGGTGCAGGGGAGGGCTGCTCAGCCTACTGAGGCTAGGCAGGTAATCCTGGGTTGGATAGGAAAGCAAGCCAAGCAAACCATGGGCAGTAAGCAGGTAAGCAGCACTCCTCTATGGTTTCTGCTTCAGTTCCTGCCTCTACATTTCTGTTTGATTCCCTTCCCTCAATGATGGACTGTAACATGGAAATGTAAGGTAAAATATACTAGGCGGGCATAGTGGCACATGCTTTTAATCCCAGAACTTGGAAGGCAGAGGCAGGGGGATCTCTGAGTTTGAGGGCCAGCCTGGTCTCCAGAGTTGAGTTCTAGGACAGCCAGGGCTATACAGAGAAACCCTGTCTTGAAACACCAAAAGATAAACTATACCATTCCTCACCAAGTTGCTTTTGGCCATGGTGTTTCTTATAGCAGTAGAAAGGAAACTGGTGTAGTCACCTATGGGATGCTAAAATTCAGAAAATGCCAGCATCTGTGAACTGAGGTGGAAACGAACTTTTTGCAGACATAATTATTCAAGGTCTCAAGGTCTCCTGTGATTAGTGTCTTTATCAAAGAAAAGGCAGGTTTAAAACTCAAGACACTTGGAAAACAGACTCTATGAAGACAACAGTCATGTCAACAAGGGACAGCACAAAACCCATCAGCAGCCATGGTGGGGCAGGGATACAGGAGGAATTCACTTGGTAATCTTTACCAAGCTCCTACTCGCCCAACACTATGCTTTATAACATTGAACTCTAAAATCATGAGGGACTAAATTTCTGTAATTTCATATGGCAGCCAGCCCCAGGAAAATAAGACCAATGTCACTAACCAGTGGCACAGGCAGAAAAAGACAGTAATTAAAGTATATACCTGAACCTAAACATACCTTGGAGCCCTTATAATGATTCAGGGATTAGTGTCTCCCTGCTAACTCACGAATCATCCATGCCACAGGAGGAACCCCGGAGAACCTCAAGACTCTCCCTGAGAACTGACACAAGGGGGGAGGGGCAAAAAAAGGGGAGCACTCCTCTTCAGATCAAAATACCCTCAGAAGATTTAGATGTTTTAAGAAAATTGGTAGCTACAAAAACTTGTAAGAGAGATTACCCTTAATTCCAAGCTTTGATTAAGAAGTTAAGGACTTTTGACACTAGTATCCCTCCTTGATCCTTGGTTTATGCTAACCATTCAGACAATGTTCCTCTAGAGCCCTAGATCCTTTATTTTCCTAAGAACTTGCCTTGTGCTAACCATTCACCCAAAGGAAATGACTGTCTCCACTAAAATAAATGCTTTACATGCTCTTCTGTAAGCCTTCAGAGATGATACTGCTCTATTTTCCCATCTGCCTTACTTTTCACACCTGGTACACACTGAGAATAGGACTATAGAGGCCGGGGAGAGAAACATCTTTCTTGGCAGAGCATCCTTGGATCTTCTCACTTAAAGAAAAGGAACTAACTGAGTTGTTTGTGACTAATGACATTGGGCCTTCTTTACCTCTGTCTTCTCTCACCCAGTCTTTCCTCCATCTCAAGATGGAACATGAGTCAAAGGCTTTCTCTGCGTCTAAACTCTTGTCATTAACCCAAGTGATGAGCATTTTGTGAGAACCTCTGAGTTTCTGAATATCTTAATGCTCTTTGCCCCACTCTAGGAAAATGATAAATTATCACATGTCCCAAGCTGTTCACTATGGAAATCACTATTTCAGGTGTCACATTTCAGTCTTCAACTCCCATTATTTCTACTCAGACCAAATACAGACTAGAGTTCTTCCTTGCAGATACCATAGTAATTATCATATGGAAGCTTCAAAATAACTGAATAAGCAAGACATTAAATTTAGGACACATAAAGAAGGGTCATTAGCATTAGAGACAAAAAGATTACCAGTCTAAATGATTGTGTAATTTCTACCTTAACCCCCTCATTCCAATCTCAGCAACTGTGGTACAGGAAAGAAAATGTACATGGGTAAGTAGACTCTACAAAGGACTGTAGATCAACAGAATTAAATTATAGTCATGATTCACAATAGCTAAGATATCCACCAACAGATAAAGACACACATATATATATATATACACACAATATATAATTTTATTCAGTCATAAAAAAGTGAAATCATGGGGCTGGAGAGATGGCTCAGTGGTTAAGAGCACTGGCTGCTCTTCCAAAGGACCTGGGTTCAATTCCCAGCACCCACATGGCAGCTCACAATTGTCTGTGACTCTAGTTGCAGGGGACCCAATACCTTCACACCAATGCACATAAAGTTAAATAAATGGATAAAAATGGAAATCACTGCATTAAACAAACAAATCAACCTCAGATGGATACTGTAGTATGTTTTCTCTTATATGCAAATCCTGCATCTTAGTGTGTGTGTTGAGAGAGAAAAATAAAAGAAAGGGAACTGGGCTGGCTAGTTTTATTTATGTCAAATTGACACAAGCTAGAGAGGAGGGAACCTTAACTGAGAGAATGCCTCCATAAAAATCAAGCTATAGAGAAGCCTGGGGGTAATTTCCTAGTGATTGGTGTGGAAGGGGCCAGCCCACTGTGAGTGGGGCCACCTCTGGGCTGGTGATGCTGGGTTCTATAACAGCAAGCTGGGGCAAGCCATAAGGGCACACTAGTAAGCAGTGCCCCTCCATGGCCCCTGCATTCTTACTTCCAACCCTCATGTTCCTGCCCTGTTTTGAGTTACTATCCTGAGTTCTTTCTTTTAATGAACACTGATGTGAACATATACGGCAAATAAACCCTTTCCTCTCCAAGTTGATTTTGGTCATGTTTCATCACAGGAATAGTAACCCTAACTAAGAGAAACTGTTAAGAAAAGAGATTGTTCCAGAGGGCAGCAGATTCTTAATAAGGGATCTGAAATGTTCAATCATACATGTGACTTGTCCAAGGCTCAGGGACCATCACAGAACACGAGGGATGTAAGAACCAAATGGAAAAGTGTGGTAGAATGGTGCCTTTGGAACACAGCATTGCTCTTGTCCTCTCTCACAGCAGTTGTGACCATCAGCACAAAAGTACCACAAGACTGGCCTATCAACATCCTGTCATGGTATGAGAGAAGAACTCATGTGCCTCCCCAACTCCCCTGAGTTATTTAGGCAAATTATGGCAGCTGGGGAGTTTAGGGTAAAGAGTCCCCAAATGTTTCTGAGTGTCTACACGCAGTTAATGGTTACTAGGGGAGGAGGGACATATTTTTCCATGGTATTACCACTGTAAGGACCCCAAACTCCTGTAATAAACCTTTACCCAGGATGCTTTATCTAATCTTAATAAAACTCAGGTCATCAGGCTGCAGAGATGGCTCAGGGGTTAAGAGCACTGACTGTTCTTCCAGAGGTCCTGAGTTCAATTCCCAGCAACCACATGGTGGCTCCCAACCATCTGTAATGGGATCTGGTGCCCTCTTCTGGCCTGCACTGTAAACATGATAAATAAATAAATCTTAAAAAAACAAACAAACAAACAAAAACCCTCAGGTCATCAAAAACTGAGTAAGAACATGAAAGTAAAAGAGGTGAAGGTAAAAATGGACCCACAGGACTAAGAGGGAAATGGAGGAAAATACAATAAAAATTTATTATATATGCACCAAAATTCCATGATATAACTCATTAGCATGCATAATTAACATGCCAGTAAAATAATTTTAATGGAATAAATGAAAGCAGACAAATGAATGGGTTGGGAAGAAAAAGACTAAGAACAAAGTGTGTGGGCCGACTTCAAAAACTAGAAATAAATAAAACCAAGTGAATAAAATGATGAAAAAGTTCTCTACTACTAAATGTTTTACTCAGTGTAGGTTAAATTCTTGTCTGCAAAAATATAAAAATGTTCTTTTAAAACTTATATTTGATAAAAATGTCCCCATTAGAACAAAACACCATAGCCATAAATTTCTAGGACAGGAACTGATAGAAGAAACTTTGCAAGGCATCGCTAGCAGTGTCTGTGGTACTTAGTGTAATGAATAAAACAGTTACTTACCAGTTTAGAAGCTCTATTGACTTCCTTCCTGATGTCTTCCACTAGAAAGCCATAAACTCCTTCTTCTTCTTTCCCTCTCTGCCAAATTCCACTTGACATTAACTATGAATATATTCTCAATTAGGAAGAAATCAGGTTGGAATCAGTAAATGTATACATCATGATTTTCATGGCCAAATAAGAGGCAACTGACACCACTTGGCTTGGAAGATATTGCATATTAACAGTGCATACCCATAAACCGATTCAAGGAAGACTACAGGGAGAGGGAGGAGAGAAGGCATAGAGGAAGGAATATTCCTAATCAAGTCAGCACTGGGGTAAACAGCTCTTATCAGTTACACTCCAATATTCTTATTCCACTGGTAGTATTGCAGGATTTTCATACTGCTCGTAACAAAATAGAAGTTTAATAAGGCTAAGTCTGGGGTTAGTATTTGTGGTGGTTTGAAAAAGAATGGCCTCCATAGGTTCATATATTTGAATGCAGAGTCACCAGGGAGTAGAACTATTTGAAAGAATTACAAGGACTAGGAGGTATGGCCTCACTGGAGGAAGCATTATTACTAGAGGTGGGCTTTGAGCTCTCTCTCTCTCACTCGCTCTCTCTTCTCTCTCTCTCTCTCTCTCTCTCTCTCTCTCTCTCTTCCTCCCCCTCTTTTTTTCAGGATGTAGCTCTCAGCTACTTCTCCAGCACCATCTGCCTGCCCATCACCATGTACCCTGCCATGATGACTATGAACTAAACCTAGAAACTTTAAACAAGCCTTCAATTAAATGCTTTCTCTTATAAGAGTTGCCTTTGTCATGCCACTTCTTCACAGCAACAGAAGACAGCACTCTTGATTACATTAAAAGACAGACTATAAGTAAAACTTTAATAGTATATATGCTAAATAATTAAAATGCATTAATAAAAGCAGAGTTTGAAATTAGTAAAGTTTGTTTTAGTCTCAATAATATCCTGAAATACAACTAGTACATATTTGACTAAGACTTAGGTATAAGAAATAATAGAAACAATTCTAAGGCTTTGTAAAAAAAAAAAAAAAGGTTAAGTGGAAATTTTTTTAATTACAACATAAAACAGACTCCAATGCCAACTTCGTGTTCTCTTAAAGGCACACTATGAAATGATTAGACTCTTAGACTAATCTACAAGTATACTGAACTCATGGAATATAACGGTTGGTGTTAATTGTCAGTCACAGAACCAGAGTATGTCAAAGGCGGTTTACCTTGACTGCTTTAACTGGGGTGGGAAGACCTGGGCACTGTGAGTGGTGCTATTCTCTGGCTGGGACCCTGGACTGAAGAACTGGAGAAGAATTGAGCATCATGGAATGTTTTATGGCTCTCTGCTTCGTACCAGACAATACAATGGATCAGTTCTCAAGTCCTACCACTGTGCCTTCTCCGCCAGGACAGACTGTGGCTGGACTGGGAGCCAGAACAAAGTTTGCCTCCTTCAAGTTGTTCAGGGCATTTTATCACAGGAAAAGGACCTAAACATAGTATCTGAGACAACCGCTGTCTTGGATATTACCAATGAATTTAGATGATTCCCCAGGAAAGTACTGGACTAAGTTCAAAAGCATGGATGATGACAGGCTTAAAAATATCTTGATGAGTTTATTGCTTCTCCTTCAAGAAGTGGAGCTTAATTTCCCTTCCCTTTAGTACAGGATTAAAAACTAACTCAACAAAGGAAACAAAACAGTGGTAAAAAGGGCACTACCCTTAGAGATCTAACCATTTTTTTCCTTTTTCTAATAGTTTGATAAAAAAAAAAAACGGGGAAGGATAAGTCTTTATATGCACCAAGTAATCTGAGGGTCTTAAAATGATATAAAAATCATATTTTATATAGAGATGGATAGATTCAGAAGCTAAATGGTTTACCTAATTCTTAGAAAGTAGTGTCATCTATTTTCTCTTTAGAATACACTTGTAGAACTAGAGTATACTCACCAAACAGTAGTAATGGACACTGAAATTCCATTTCTCATAAGTTTTCTTTTCTCCGTATTTATTGGGACAATCATCATTTTTTCGACAGAAGATACAAGCTAAAAGCAAAAAAGTCAGAAAATATAAAATACATCTTAAAATTACAAAATAACTTTCAGAATTATGCTTCTTTGATATGTGTACATATGTGAATGGTAGCCATACTACACACATGGTGGTCAGGACAACCTCAGGTGTTTCAGCACTCCCTTTCCAGCTTGGTTAAGACAGGGCATCTATTGTCATTTGCCACTGATCGTACCAGGCAAGCTGACTCATGAATTTCCAGCCAGTGACCTGTCTCTGCCTCACAGCTCCTGTAGGAACATCAGGAGTACAGCAATGTGCCACCATGCAGAACTTCATGTGAGTTCTGGAGATCAGACTAGCATGGCAAGTACTTTACCCACTGATGCAAATCCCCAGCTGCTGAATTTTGTCTAACTGGACAATGGCCTTGGGTGGTTTGTGTCTATGGTTACAGACTGCTAGTCCAAAAGAAAGTAATATAGATGTCATTCCCAAATAAATGTGAGTATGTTTTATCTTTGTGGTAGTTCCCTAAGGGATGGGGCCAAATGCTTGTTTGTTTTGGCTGCATCAGAATCCTCGTAGGGTCAAAACAAAAACAGTAGCTACAATAATCTAGGGCAAGCAGCTGACAGACCAAAAAAACTAGGAAAGAAGTTGGGAAGAATGCATATATATAGGAGAGTAAGGATCTTAAAAAGTTTACATATGTACTGCAGAACATAGGGGGCCAGGTGTGTACCCATGGACATATCTGTGCTCATAAATAGCCAAGAAAACAAAAACTGATTGCTGGAGGACAGTGAAGTGCATTCATACCCAATATATTAAAAAGACCTTGAATCGGGCTGGAGAGATGCCTCAGTAATGAAGAGCACAGGCTGCTCTTCCAGAAGACCCAGGTTCAATTCCCAGCACCCACATGGCAGCTTACAACTGCCTGTAACTCCAAGGCCTGACACCCTCACACAAACATACATGCAGGCAAAATGCCAATGCACATAAAATAAAAACAAATAAAAATCAGTTGGGCAGTGGTGGTGCATGTCTTTAATCCCAGCACTCAGGAGGCAGAGGCAGGCAGATCTTCGTGAGTTCAAGCACACAGCTTGATCTACAAAGCAAATTCAAGGACAACCAGAGATACACAGAGAGACCCTGTCTTGAAAAACCAAAGACACCTTGACTCACTACGAGCCCTGAAGGCACAAGACACTCAACTACGTGTTCATTTTTATAGCTGACTAAAATTCAGTAAACTGTTCTACTTCATTATATTTACTGTTAAAAGTACCTTTTGCCAGGGCAAATACTTGTTTCTCTTAAGCACACAGATTTAAATTAAAAACTAGAGGCATTTATCTGAGGGGAAATTAAGCAAGTTGGAAGAAGGGCATATTCAGCAAGTGTACAATGATATTACATAAATCACTGCAATTTCCAAGCCACTGGCATTGCTGATATAACTTAGGAGGTAAAACAAAGACAAAGGTATGTGGGGGAGAGGGATTGATAGGAACGAATTTCCTTGTTCAAAGTAAGGTAGAGACAACAGATACACCAAGAGATAATAAGGCTAACAGGGGATATGACTTGGCTGGTACAAGGTTTATCACACAAGTATGAGGACCTAAGTTTGAATGTCTAGCACCTATAAAAAGCCAGACTCAGTTGTACATGTCTATAATTCCTGCATCAAGGAGGCAGAAACTGATGGATCCCTTGCCAGCCAGTTGAGCCAAATGGATGAGCTCAAGATTTAGTGAGATGGCCTATTAAAAAAAAAAAAAAAGCTGGGCATGATGGCACACACCTTTTTGATCCCAGCACAAGGGAGACAGAGGCAGGTGGATTTCTTTGAGTTCAAGGCTGGCCTGGTCTACAAGTGAGTTACAGGTCAGTCAGGGACAAGCAGAGTGAGACCCTGTCTGAAAACAAAACAAAACAAAAACAACAAAAGCCCCACAAAGCATGAGGGAGTTGCATAATGACACAATTACATACAATAATAAAGTAGACCTTATCATTCATGATACGAGTCAACAGACACTGTTCCTAATAGAGAAAAACAACTATGTATTAACAGGGAAGATTGGTGTAAACGTAGGAATTTTCCTTTTCATGTTAGACTTTTGATTATTGCTTATATTGTCCTCATTTATCAAAGGAAAAACCATGAAAAAAATTAAACAATAATTTCCTCAGATTCAAATCCTATATGATAAATCCTATGAAGCATACAAAACTAAATTTGACAAAATGTCTTCTGATAGCAAATTTAGTTTGTGGAAATAAATACAATCATAATTAACTAAGCATGCATTAAAATATTCATTCCTACTGCCTGGATAGCATTCTAAATGGATTTTATTGTAATAAAAATGTTTTAAATACAGTTACTTACCAAGATTTTTTGAGTTATCCTGTTTATTTTCATTCATTTTACTAGAAAAAATAAGAACATTAATATCTTAATTTCAGAAATCTCTTAATGATTTTTCTTAAATTCAGTCAGTATATGTTTATAACCAAGTCATATGTAATCATTTCATACTATAGTACAGTAGTTAATTTCCTCATTTTGAACAAATAGAATTCAAGAAGAGTGGTAAAATTTGAGGAATTCGTTAACAATGAAAAGAATATTTAATTATTAAAACAAATACTAGGCCGGGCAGTGGTGGCACATTAATGCTTTTAATCCCAGCGCTTTGGAGGCAGAGGCAGGTGGATCTCTGTGAGTTCGAGGCCAGCCTGGTCTACAAAGTGTGTTCCAGTACAGCTAGGGCTGTTACACAGAGACAACCTTTCTCAAAAAAACAAAACAAAAACAAACCCCAAAAAGCAAATACTAGGATTGTGGGATGCCCTGTGGGGCACCAATAAGTCCTACACAACAGAGAACTGCCTGGATTCCCATATTCCTACATAAATATTAAAGTACTGGTTAAAAAGAAAAATAAAACAAAGACCAATAAAAATAAAACTAATTTAAAGTCCCCTTATAAATACATTATTCTATCCCAACTGTGATGACTGATATCTAGTTATTGCTAATTGTTGGGTTTATTATAACACCAAACAATGCCTGAGGTTCACAACAGGAGCAACTCTGGCAAGTTTTCAGAGGGTAGCATTACCATATTTATTCAGTGCAATGCAAATCATTATTTGCTGAATGTGACTGATACAAATGACTATACAATAATTCTAGAATACATTTTCTTTATTAAGAGATCCGTTTTTCTGTTGTTAGATATTCTTGGCCTTTTCCTAGTCTCTCTTGGTGAATGATGTCATAAAAGTCTGACCAATTCTTTATACAGACAACCATGTTACTTAAACTTTTTTTTTTAAAGTTGTCTGAGGTTTCCTGTTCATTGTTCATTAGTGTAAGATTATCCAATGTATGTCACCATCAGACTTAATTTTTTAATTCGTATCAATGCCATTACTTGTGCAATAGTCCCCATAGTAGTAGAACAGTAATTTTACAGTCATTTGCTTTTGTCTGTTGGTTCTTCCACTCTGTAATTTCATTGCAGAGTTGTATACCTAGCTTTATTAGCTACAGGCTTACTCCTAGTGTTTTTAAATCAGTCCATGCAAATGGCAGAAACTGTACTGAATCAAGGCACAGGACATACACAAGTTGCTTATACTATTTTCTTATCCTGTGATTTTTTTCCCCTAGGATTGAAATAAAAACAATTACCCAAATATTTGACATTCTGAGAAAATTATATCAATTGCATAGTTTATACTTTTATTTTAGAGACAAGGTCTTATGATGTAGTCCAGGCTGGCCTTGAAATCCCAGAGATCCACCTGCTTCTGCCTCCCAGGTGCTGCGATTAATGGCGTGACAACCACATCCAGCTTTAGTTAATATTTTTAACATTAGACTTTTTAGTTCCTTCATTTTGAAATCAACTTTTCATTTTAAAGTCCAGATTTAGGATCTCCCTCTCACATTAGGGACTGAACCCAGGTACCTTAAATGTTAGGCACTTGTTCTACCATTAGGCTCATTTCACTTTATCCTGACAAAGGGACTAAACTGTACAGGATGACATCCAACTTGCAAGCCTGCCTCAGAGTTCCTATTACAGAATCATTTTATTTCAAACAAGTCTACAGGATAAAATCTAAGCAAAAAAATTAACAAGTTACTTACATATTTTAAGGTTATGTATCTTAGTCTTAGAAATAATGTCAAACTCTTCTTTTCCTTGAGAAATCGCTAACAATCTAATGACGTTCCAAAAGGCCAGAGTCAAGATGCACTCTAAGTCCCTCTCATGGCTTACCCCCACTTCACTTTGATATTTCAGTAGGCAAGGCCTGATGCCCTGAACTGTGATTAGTGCCTGCTAACATAGCCTCACCGAAAGCCAAGAATGGGATCACAGATCTAAACATGAATTACATATCTAACAGTACATCTTGGATAGGCATGGTGGTGCCAATCTTTAGTAACAGCATAACAGCACTCAAGAGGTAGAGGCAGGTGGATTTCTGTGAGTTCAAGGCTAGACTGGTCTACACAGTGAGCTCCAGGCCAGCCAAGGCTGCATAGTGAGATCCTGTCTCAAAAACAAAAACAAACAAACAAAAACAAAAACAATAAAAACAACAACAAAAAAGGCATTTCTAGAAAAAAACAAGAAAGTTTTTGTTAAGCATGCATTCAGATTTGTTAGAGGGCTGGAGAGAGGGTCCAACACAGTTAAGAGCACTGCTTTTGCTTGAAGACCCATCGTTTAGTTACTAACACCCACAAAGTGACTTATAACCGTTCATTCCAGTTCCAGGGGATCCAATGCCCTCTTTTGACCTCTGCATGCACCAGGCATGTATGTGGTGCACAGATACACTTGCAAAACATTCATATACATAAAGAGATCTTTAAAAATGAAAGATCTCATTCTGTAACATTGTCAAAATATCTGTTCTTTATGACTGTGAAACTCATTTTGTACATTCAGTAATGTCCAGGCGAAAATAAAGAAGTGGGCCTAACTTACGGGGAAATATACATTCATTATTCAACCCCTTTCTTCTCCTTCCCTTGAATAGGTAACATTTAAATAAGATAACAATGACATACATTTTTTTCTAAAAGTGTCTATATCTAGGATATATTTTCACACATAGGGTGGATATTACATGTAGTCCTACTTATAAGCATAAAGAACAACTAGTTGAATGACTTATAACTACACAATCAAATTTTCATGGTTAAAAATTTGGTAACAATTTACTTAGACTCCATTTAGCAAGTGCACATGGTACATGACAAAATTTCAGACTGTGGAGGGTCTTATAAGGGTAAGTTGGTATGGGCTAAAAAGATGAGCGGAAAGGTGACTCTATTGAAGTGTACTTTGTTGAAAAGTAGCATAGTGATATCTAGACTTTTGCATGCTAATTTTAATAAAATATTAAATGTAAATAAAGATCTCCCCAAATGTCTATTATAAAAAAAAGAAAGAAAGATCTCACAGGGCTTCGAAGGTAAGCCGGTGAACAACAATCAGCTTCTTTAATTTGCTTCTGGAGTATGTTTAAGTCAGAATAACAAAGAACAGACTAGTCTTAAGATTGGAAGAGCACCAAAACCCACAAAAAAACATAAATCATTTCTTGTATCTCATCAGATCATAATGAAAGACTAGAAACTACAGAAATCATAAACTCTGAAGCTGAATCACTAGATCATTAATGAGCTCAAAGAAATTTAAAAATTCAAATTTAACAATATTTTAGAATCAAGTGAAAATGAAACTATAATTTATTGGAACCTTTAAAAAACAGTAAAGGCAGGAAGGGCTTTAGCTCAGTGGCTCGAGGCCTGTGGGAATCTCTTGTCCCTAGAAAAGAAACAGTAAAAGCAGAGGAAAGTTCATGGCTATGCATGCTCACGTTATTAAAGCCAGAACTTGATGATGCTCTTCAAAGACTTAGAAAAACAAACAGACTAAGTGCCAAAGCAGCAGACAGAAGAAAGGAACAGAACAAAATTTGTACAAGAGTCACAAAGATGCAAAGTAATGATTTGATTCGAAATATGATTGACACTCTTAGCCAAAGTAACCAAAACAGAATTAATAATGTCTATGAAAAGGAGGCTTGTTAGGCTGAAAACTTTAGCTACTTTTCCTGTTGTGATATGATAGTCATTTTAACTAGACAGAAGCGGTGGCTATACATTATAAATATGCTATCACTGAACTGCATATTTATAATGGTTAATATCATGTTCATTCTACCTAGAAAATGTTAAATCTACAACTATTTCTATCAAATATTGGATGTCTCATACAAATGTCCAAGTAGCCTTTACTGTAATGGCTAAAAACCCACAAGTGATCTAAATACAAGTCAATAGATGGATAGCACATTTGTATAATGGAATATCATCACTAAAATGCATTTAACTAAACCCCTAATATGGGTGAAATTTACTACTTACAAACTGAATTATGAGGTAAATTTTTATATTAGTGATACTTTAAACTAAAAGGAAAGCTAATTGAGTCACCAATGTGTCTCATTTCCATATACAAATGACCCTGAAGAAATAGCTTCTCTTGGTCTCTACATACTGGGTCGCTATGCCCACTGTTTATGATTCTAATGCCACCCTAACACACAAAAATATTTCTGTAGCTTGCATTCCAGAATCTTGTAGTATACCAACTCTAAAATTCAAGAAGAAACCATGTGAATGAGCTAGACTATGTCAGGTACACAAGCTCTGATTAAAAGCCACATACCATCTTCTCTGCAGAAGGGGTATCTGATGGTAGAATGCTGGATGCCCCAGATAATCCCACACATTGGTCTTTAGAAGGGTAGCCCAACATTACTAGACAGGTTTTTACAGAAAAGAATAAAGGCAAGAAGGGATAGGTCTTAAGCTTGTAAGTTAAAGGAACAGTAAATTCTTATGCTCTTTAGTTCTCACACTTGTTATTTTACTGTATACCACTGATTTCACAAACAGCATCAAGTACAAAAAATACATTTTAAAATTATTAAATATTTTGATTCCTCAGTTCATCTTAATGTAGGGGAAATAAACGTTATCAGGCTTACGTGAGAAAATATGTATAAAACAGCTAATATGCCATGAATATGAATAAATACAGGTCTTTTTTCTTATTTGAACTTTCTCTGGGGGTTATTTCATTATTTCTCAAGTTTGGCTGTTTATAGACTGTATGTTACTTGAAAACAGTTTGGAATCAGACTGTATGCAGCTAGACTACAAGGGACTTTTTTTTTTTAAATAAAGCCAAGATTTGAATCATATACTAAAGAAAATGAAATTGGAAATTTCTAGTCACCAAGTCTGAGAACTTGTATTTGATCCCTGGAAACCACAGAGTAGAAGGGGGAAAAAAATGATTCTCACAATGGATAATCCCTAGGAAACAGGTTCTATTGGTTTCTACACAGAGGACCACGATGTCTCTGATCTGCATAAAGCAAGCAGACACACAGAGACACATTCTAAACAAGAAGTCCAGTTGCAGTTGTATGTCTTTAAGCAGTGTATTACCAGGTTTTTAAACCTCTGGCAGAATATTCTAACTTTTCCATTAAAATACAATTTATTCAAGTCCACCGTCCACACCTAAGTCAGAATCTGTGAAGTGTGAGTACAGAGTTAGCATTCCCGGAGAATTATAGGCGTATGCACACAATAACGTATGACATTGCTTGATGTAGATAGGTAAAAGAAAAACAAAGGAAGAGACTGGGAGTGAAAGCACATTAAAGAAACAGAAAATCTAAAACAGGTGACTTGCTGGAAACATGTATGAAGCTCAAAGATTTGTCTGCAATCTTTGGAAAAAAGGAGAGCCACTTTCATGAGGGTACCTTTGTGGTACCCTCATGAAAAACGACTTCAATGATCGTGCTATTTTAATTCTTTTTTTTCTGGTGAACACTGAAAACACTCTTTAGCAGGGATGGAGAAATGATGTTAGTGCCACTCTAGAAAAGATATTTATACATTTTGATACATTAACCAGTTAAAACCTTAAAGGGATCTCTATGTATCCTTTTTCTACAAAGCACAAAATCAACTTGTCAATTTTCAGTAAGGAGAATTATAGAACTTTTAAATATCTAAGATGCCCCAAGTTTACGTTCACCGTGCACACCCAAGCTATCCAAAAAAGGTATGGCTTTTTGTCGAGGTTTTTGAGAGTCCAGTTCATCATAAAAGACGAACAAAAAGAAAACCCAAACGGAAAACAAGAAAAAAAAAAAAAAACGCTCGGAGAAGACTCAAGTCTTGATGCATCGAGTTCCTCTTAAAATAACTCTACAATAACACAGTCGGCCAATGAATGAAGAGGGCGAAAAGGCAGGCGCAGAGACTGGACCCCTTTCCCCATTGTTAGCAAACTAACATCGGTGTGCGCCACCGCTGTTACTGTAGCCAGTTTAAATGAGCAAAGAGGCTCAGATTTTTGCGGTACGGGAGAAATGTCAAAGCGTGAAAGAAAAATACCCCGGTTTGAAACACAAAGGATACTCAGATTTCAGCTTAAATCCCCAAGAGGCATTTCAAGGCTGTCATTTCTCTGCGGTGCGAGGGGACCGGTCTGAGGAGCAACTGGGAGCCACCGTCGAGCGCCCCTCGGTGCAGCCCGCCCCCACCTTCTGTCTTTAATTAATAAAGGGCAGCTAGCTCCCCCAGCAACTCCAG